TTAGTTATCTGTACCTCCAGATATTATACAAGATAGGCCCTTCCAAATCTGGTTACCACTCAGATTGGTGTTACTGAAAGTTGTCTGTGCCTCCAGATATCATACAGAACAGATCCTCCTAAATCCAGTTAGCCACTAAGCCAAGTTGGTGTTGCTATATGACTTTGTATAATAGACTTACGCACATTTATTCTGCTGATCTTTTTGTATGTAGGTTTCCTAATAGACTTATTCACATCCTAGTTGCTGATCTTTTCATATGCAGATTTTCTTTCCCAGATCAAACATTAACTGGTATGACTATTGAAATCTATACTACTTTACCTAACTCAGGATTTCTGCAATGCAAGTCTCCTATCTGTAGATCCTATCAAGATTTATTCATGTAATATTATATTCCTCAGATACTCCATCATATTTTCAATATTCGAATAATTTTGGTGCAATATGATTTACAGGGTTACAACCTCTAGAAACAGACAGAGTTTACTATAAGTTAGATACAATGATCTAAGTAATTATTCAATTCTGTTAACAGTGAAATTTGAACCCTAGATCTCTTGTATAGCAGTTTGACAACCTAACCACTATACTAAAATTACTAGACCTTATATATAATTTTAAAATTTACTATTATAATCATTTTAAAAGCTGATATTTAAATAATAAATATAATTTTCTATTATTTTAAGAAGATAATTTAATGATTTAAATATATTTATTAAATTTAAAATAATATTTTATTGATTTTATTAATAATAATTATTTATCTGAAAAAAAACTGATATTTTATTGATAAGTTTACGATTATAAATATTTTTGATGATATATATATAATTTTAAAAATTTACTGTTATAATCATTTTAAAAGCCAATATTTAATAAAAGAGTACTACTTGTACCTCTAGTTGTATAAGCAACAAGAACTAAAAAAAAAAATCTGATAATTAAATGATAAATATAATTTTTTATTATTTTAAAAAGATATTTTAATAATTTAAATATATTTATTAAATTTAAAATAATATTTTATTAATTTTATTAATAATAATTATTTATCTGAAAAAAGGCTAATATATTATTGATAAGTTTATGATTATAAATATTTTTGATAATATATATATGATTATAAAAATTTACTATTATAATCATTTTAAAAGCTGATATTTAAATGATAAATATAATTTTCTATTATTTTAAGAAGATATTTTATACTAAAATAAAGTTTACTATAAATTAAAATATTTATTTATAGAAATTATAACTAATACTTGTTGTTGTCCATTACTATACCTAAATTTATATATTAATTTAATAAATCAGTCTAATATTCTTTGTATGAGGAGTATGCAATCTCTTAATTCTAGATAAAATTTTTTATACCAGATTTCAATATTGCAACAATTATTATTCTTTAATAATAGATAAAATCTATGGTATTATGTAGTCAATACTATTTTACATAAGCTAAATAGTATATATTATTATTATATTTATGCTATAAAAAAATTGTATTTGTTCTGAATAAATATCAACTGATTTACCTTTATAAGCAATGAATTTTGCTCTGATATATAAAAGATTAATATAGCTAGAGCTAATTTTTGATCTATATATTTCTAATCTTAATTTTAATCTTTCATATTATATAGTAACTTTATTTTTTTTTTTTTTTATATTTATTAATAATATCAAAATAGGAAAAGAATTAGTACATTTGTATATCATGATAATATATATGTAGATCTAATATACATTTCTAAAATACATTGTTATTACTAATACTAGTTAGTCATCCAATATGATATTATACCCTCATTTTCTATTTGTTAGCTAATTTAAGTCAAGGTTACTATTAACTATAGAAGAGGTTGAAGAAGATCTCTGGGATTAGTAGAGGTCCGAACTAGATGTAAATTTAACACCCAGGTCATCTGTGTAACTTTTAAATCAGGTACTTGGGTGAAAATGGGTTATATAGTATAAAGAGATGGATATGTAAAAGTTCTTTGTAAGCATAACAAACACTTACTGTATCATCTCAAAATAACACTTCATAGCATTATTTCGAGTATCTTATTATGATTATCATAACTCATGAAACACCTCATAAAACTAGTCAAATCATTTTGGCATAATCAGTATAAATTATAATTTACGTTACATATGGATTGCATCATAATTTGATATGTACATTTTTGCACAAGCTAAACATACTAAACATATTCTAAACATGTAGAGTAAGTGTTCAAGTGAAAATTTAATAATATTAAACGTGTTAATATTTATAATGCTAAAATTAGCTGTAGAACAAGTATAACATGTGACATATATCTTTTATATAGAGTAGAAATTCATATAAGTTTCTGACATATAATTTTGTTTTGTTAATAACATTGACCAAAACTCTTATATTGTCATAACTTTGTAATACAGAAGCAATAATCATGTGTTAATGCTCTAATTAACATAAGAATTACATATATATACAGTCTTATCTGTTATAATTTTATTGGATCTTTATGCCAAAACTACAAACTTAACTGAATTGGCTAATTTTTATCAAGTGTTTCAGGGATTATAGTAATAATAATAATCAGATCAGTAGCAAAATCATTCAGCAAATTTTCACAAATGTCCTATGAATTATGATAATAGCTATGAGCTACTCGAAATAATGCCTCAAGGTATTATTTCATAATAATACGATAGTTATATCAATGTAAGAAAGGGTTAATACAATACAAATTAAAAGTTAATAACTATAACTTCATATAAATAATTCATTTCATAACCAACTTTTAAACGAAACCTTAACTGAATATCGCAAGATCAAATTTTATATATTTTTAATATTTGATCATATAGCTGAAGTAGAAATTTAATTTTAAAGCACAGTTTATTGTAAACATTTTGATAAGTAAATGATAAGTAATATAATTTTGTTTCAATTATATATATTTTTTTTTTTTACAAATTCTAAAATATTGAAATTACATCAGAATTTCTTTTTAAAAACATTATTTTATTTACTAATTTAGGATCTAGCTGTGTACGCTTTGCAGTAATGCAATTACCTGCATCTGAAAACAACCTTTCACTAGGTACAGATGACACAGGAATTGATAAATACTTTCTTGCTAACTTTGCTACATTAGGAAATTGTGTTTTCCAAATTGCCCACCATTTAAATAGATTCACATTATCATTAGCAATAGGAGTTCATGTGGGGTCCAGGTAGCATTCTAATTTAGCTAAAGGATTGAAAGTAGTATAGATTGAAGAAGTTATACCAAAAATAGAGGAGTGCAAATGATTGTGGCGAATATTACTATCATTTAAAGTAGTATATATAGATATTGTTGTTTGTTCATAATTTGAAGTGGCTATATTTTTGAACTGATGAATTAACTCAGTTTTTGTTATTTTTGAGTTTCCTCATTCCAACTGGAAAGCGTTTTTAGCCATGGATCCAAAAGTAATGCCAACAAACTAACTATTAATGGTTTATTCCAATAATCAAATAAGGAATTATAGATTATATAGCGCATTAACTTGATGATATGAGTGTTTTGTGAAGAATCGTTAGTTGATTCTGAACTATCATATTCTGAATCATCACTATCGTCATCTGATGATTCTTCATAATAAAAGTTAGGTACATCTATTTAACCAATTTAATATTTAAAGGTTGTTAATAAAATATACTGAGAGATCTTTTTTTTTTGAGTTTAACCTAGGTATAGTGTTTCAAGTCGAAATAGTATTAGTTGACTTAGTCAACTAAGTTGATTTTTTAAAATATCAGCTTAGTTGACTATTAATATGTAATAGTGTAAAGCCTGTATATTAACATTAACATAATGTTAAATCTTTGTTTAAGGCTCAATCGCTATTAATTTTGAATTAAAGTAACTTTAATCATATAATAAGAGCTAAAAAAAATTGTATATTTGTATATATACGTATATATATATATGAGTATATTTAATAACTATAGCATAACTTATTGCATGATAAGTAAATATATAGTTACTTGGAGATTTATCTAAATGAATTATTAAAAATCGAACCAAAAGTGAAGGTGGTGTAAAAAAAATATATAGTACAATGAAAAGATATAAGAATTATATAAATTATTAATAATAGAGAAAAATAATGCAATTGCATTAAGGAATTATAGGATAATATATAATATAAAAGGTAGATATGATTAAAGATCGAACTAAATGATGAAATATTAAAAGTTGTAGAAAAACTTATCGAATAAAGAATCACTTGCAGATTTAAACAAATCATTATCAGTTATTCTAGGATTAATAAGAATAGCTATAAGTGCTTATTTACTATATTATATATGCTAACAGTCGACTAAGCCAACTAAGTTGAATTGAAATCATCAACTCGACTAAGCTTATAAAAATTTTATCAACTACAAACACTACTTAGGAGATACTCGAGGCACTAGTAATACTTTATATCAGATCTTTAAAGCTACTAATATTTGAATAATAGAAAGTAAAAGCCTGTAAACTTTTTTAAATATTTACTTTAATAAAAATATTCTAAAATTAAATAATTAAACATTTAAAATTTTAAAATTATTTAAATAATTTTAATAAGTCAATTCAGATAATATTAAATCTTAAATATTCAATTACTTATTTTTAAGATATTTGATAAAAAATTCCATTTTAGTTTAGGTTAAAGTCACTTGAAATTACTAATTCTATTAATTTTAATTATTTAAATGATATTATATTTTGTTAAATAACTTTAACTTAGATGAAAATAGGATTCTTATATTTTTATTATAAGTATTCAAAAAACATAATTTCAGACTTTCTCTTTCTATTACTTGTTTACTATTATAAATTAAAAAAGTTATTAAAAGCAATACTAGATAAGATATATATAATGAACAATATAGTTTAGTAATATAGTGAATTATCAATTTACTATATTGCCTTACTATATTATCATATCTGTTTTACATTAATTTAATTACCTTGTTCATTATCTTGAACATCACTTGCTATTTCAAATTTAGTGAATGTAAATTTAAGTGCCTGAATTAAAGGATATATAATGGATAAGATAGCATATTTTGAGCCACTAAAATAAGTAGTAGCATCATCAAATGGTTCTAACAATATAATAATTTGATTTAATAGATCCCATTCATATGATAAAAGAAGTAGCTTTTTTAATTTTTGTTCATCAGCTCGATTATCTGAATTGTCAGATAAAGGTAGTATTGCATCTAACTATTCAACTGCTTTACGCAGTTTAAGTAGTCGTTTCCATGAATGGTATTTTGAATTCTATTTAATCTTTATATCTGCTATGTTACGTAATATAGATTTTTCAGAATCTGTAACAATATTTACAGATGATAAACTATTTGAATCACTATCACCAGAATTTGATATATCAGTCAAACAAATATTACTTTGGGTTTGTGAATGTAATTGACATTCTTGTGTGTCTTATCAAGGCATTCATTTTGTTTAGGAGACTTAGTAAAAAACTTAACTAATTTTTTTATTTTTTTAATATGAGTATTTATTTTTTTGAAAGCGCAAGAAATTGATAATTGCAAAGTATGAGCCGCACAAGGTAAATGTTCAACTTCCTCCTACAAACTAATTGCTTTAACCATATTACTCCTATTATCTGTTGTAATACAAGTTATTTTTTTATCTAACCCAAATTCTAATACTTTTTTTTTTAAAAAAGTAACAATTTTTTCAGCTGAATGTGGATATGGTATATGTTCCATACAAAGAAGACAATCATATACTTTAAAGTCATTTGGTAACCAATGGATTGTTATACCTATATATCTATATTTACTGCGAGCAGTCCATAGATCAGTTGTTAAGGATGCTGATTCGCATGTATTATCTAATAATTGTCTCAGATTTTTAACTGCTTTAGGATAAGCATTATGAATTTCTTTTTTAATCCTTTTTTTGGATGGAAGTTGAAATGCTGGATCGACTATTTTCATTATTTTCTTGTATTCTTTTCCTTTAACTATATTGATTGATAAATTATCAATAATAATCTATTCAGTAATTGCTTGTCAAATCTCTTGGTTTCATGGCTCTTTATACATTTTAACTTTTGCCCGTTTAAGAGTTTCTTTCAATATTTGTTGAACAGTATGATCTTGCTTCTATATAATGATTAGATAAATATTATTAATTATATTAGATAAATACTATCAAGGAAAAATAGCATTTAGTCTTTCAATTATATTTTATATAGCAAATCTATTTAATTTATTAAAGATTATGTTTAATATAAAATATAATTGAAAGTTTGCTATTTTCCCGTAGCTGTATTCAAATATTAAATAGCAATTAATAAAAAACTTATTTTATTTTTATTCTCATATAGATCATGTTTGTTTTGAAGATGACTACTCATATTTCCAGTACTACCATCATGTAGAAATTTATGACCGCATTTAACAGTTTCATTATTTAAATTTAGAATTTCAACTGTACAAATATCATGTTGTCCATTCTTGTTTACTTTAAAGTATTTCCATACCCAACTAGATTTTACATATTTCCATCTACGTTTTGGCAATTTACTTTTTTTAGTTGCACAAAGTTGATTTTCTAGAGAAACTATTGAAACGGCTCTACTACCAGAACCAACTGACATATTATCACTGGCCTCACTATATGAATCAAAAAATAAGGAATCTTCTTCAGGAAGGTCACTTTCTTTGTCACTCATTGTAATGTAAAAATAAAATAAATTTGCTTGAGATAAAAATATAGAATTTGCTTGAGATAAAAATATAGTAGTATAATAAAGAAAAAGATTGTACAGATTGATATTCAGAAGTTTTTTAAAACATGAGTAATTTTTTTTTTGTATTTTTATTTTTATTTCACTATGAATTTAGTATCTTCTCTAATTACAAGGCTTTTTATATTTCTTTTGTTACAATAATACTAATACTAATCTTTGTTTCTAGTTATAATTAGGAAAATGATGCAATTTTTGCATTAATTTCAATAGTCGCTATATTTATTAATTGTTCTGTTTTACATAATATATAAAAAAATTCTTTATTTATTTTGGCCAACACGCATCCTTGTCTTGTTTTATGGGATTAGTACATTGGGAGTATATTAATAAAGCATTATTAGCAAAGATATATAATAATTCGGATAGAATTTTCAATTCCTAGATTTGCTATTGATGTACTACCAATGCAATAGCCCCATAAAAATAGACGAAAGTTTTCTTAAAACAATAGGCTTTGAACTATTTTTTTTATTTTGGCAACATCCAGTTTACTATTTAAATTACCCATTTATAATTTGAATTTATTTATTCTAATTTAATAAACCCAATACTGGAAATACTTTAAGAATAAATCACAAGATCTTTATTTTCTATTGCATAAAATATCTGGTGTTATATACTCCTCTAATTATTTAATCTAATGTATATTTTATAGCCTTTCGGTTTCTATATTAAAGTATTATTTTACACATAATTATTATAATCACATATCTAGTCTGAAAGACAACTATTGTGTTTATTATTTCTTATTTATGTATAATTTTGATTATATATATGCTTGCATGCATTTATGAGTTAATATGGATTTCAATTTAAATTATTTAAGCCAATACCAAGGCATAAAATCAGATCGAACCATTTATAGATTTAGTTATTTAAACTAATGCTAAGGCATAGGATCAGGTAATACCAATTATGAATTTTAACACCAAGGTATAGGATTGAGTAATATCAATTATGTATTTAACGCCAAGGCACAGATCTGATTTAAGTGTAATAATTCATGGATATATTTTATATATTATATATAGGCGAAATTTTTAGTTGGAATGCAAAATTAGGTGATAACACAGTGATACTTAGCTCAAGTGATCCAAAATTGATCTGGTTCAGGTTAGTTTTGGTGTATTCTAGCTAATCAGTTTGGAGCATTACTTAAAAATTAGATACAAAAACTGATAAGCAGCTCATAAGCGATTCATAAGCAATTTTACGATTACTAATCAAATCATCACTTTTAATCTAAGTAATCACACTATATTTCATATATTATTAGTTTAGATTCTATTTAATCTCATAGTTTCAATTTAAATAATCATGAAATTGAAAATTTCTGCTCATATAAAAAGAAAATTATGTAACAGGCTTCTTTCAAATTACGTTTTTTGATGCATATTATATTTAAATCCTGTAATTATCTGATTTTCTAAAAACATGAATTACCGTTATCGTTATATATGCACATATTAATAAGAAATGCACAAACAATTTGAGGCATATAGATGAAGGTTCTCAGACTTTCAAGACTTCTATGACTTTCGTGACTTGGTAATTAGAGTCAATCTGAGTCATCTTAGTATCAATGTACCCTTTCATGATATGTGCACTACTTATCATGTTTGTATAGTGCAAATACAATATAAAAATAACACATTCTGACTAATCAGCTTAGATTTTATCAGTAAAAAGCATATAACTGATTTGATCCAAGTTGCAAATTAGTGACCTAGGTCATCTGATTTGACACGGATAACCCAGTTTAGTATAAACCAGTTCGGAACTCTAAGAATTAGAAAGAAAAAAGTTAGAAAAAGCAGTTGTATAGAGAAAAGTTTTGAAGTAATAATTTATAAATATAGTTATCT